TCATCTCTTACACCCTCCTTCTGAGGGCAAAGGTCGGCTTTGCTTTCTTCTGCCCCAAACTTGATTCTGATCAGTAAATCCCCACGTTCTGTATAGAAACAGCAGTTTGGGGATAATGATAACAATCTATGCTCCCTACCAGGCCAACAAAAGTAATGTTGGTGTTTTCTACTGATGAGTAACTCTATGATTTTTTTTAAATGTAACTTTTATTTATTATTATTTTAAAATATATTTTATTGATTCTTTACAGAGAGGGAGAGTTAGGAACATCGATGAGAGAGAATCATCAGCTGCCTTTTGCACACCTCCTACTGGGGATGTGCCTGCAACCAAGGTACATACCCTTGACCGGAATTGAACCTGGGACCCTTCAGTCCGCAGGCCGACGCTCTATCCACTGAGCCAAACCGGTTTCGGCAGCTCTATGACTTTTGAAAGATAATCCTCTGGCACATGAATTGCAATATACTGTCACCACAAATATGTCCTGCAAATTCTTGTTTGGACAGTTTTTACATGAAATTGAGTTAAACGTTATTTTTTTAAAATACCTTTTCAGAAACTAAGTATTAAGAATAATTATGTTGAGACTTCTCATAGGCTCCACATTGCACTCTTCAGAGGTGCGGCCAGCTATGACCCATTCCTCTGTGCTCCGCGTGGAGGACAGAAGCAATGCCTGTGAGTTTCAAACCATTTCCTGATCATCGCTCAGCGTCTCTCACACTTACCCGTTACACTACTTTCACGTAAGAAAACTCGCACAACTGGATCCATGCAGCCTTTATTCCTTTGACAAACACAGGAAAATCTGCAACCATCTATCAAAATAACCACCTCTCTTACCAAGAATTTGAAAGGCATTTTAAAGAGATGCATTCAATCTGATGCATGTAAAGAGCAGTGTCTGCAGGAGGGAAAGCCGGACTGTGAACATGTGACAGTAAAGGACCCACTGAACCCACATCCCAGCCCCACCGATCACACAGGAAACAGAGCAGGCCTGGGTTTGAAGCTGCCCTGTTACAATTATTTATTTTAAAAGGAAAACTGCTTTCTGGCAAATCCTCGCTGCAGACGCCAGGGCGAACACTGCACTTCAGGGCCCAGGGGAATCCAGCTACTTCCTCGGGGCGACACTGCAGCTGCCTGAGGCCCTGGGAAAGCTCTGCCGTTCAAGGAAGGGGCTTGTTTTAGTCCAGGCTGGTTTTTAATACACAGATCTGTGGTGCTTCCCGGCGGAGGGGAGGATGGATGTATTCAGATGACGGGACCCGAGCACGTTGGCAGCCTTGTTGGTAAGGTTTCAATGAGGGCTGAGAAAGCTGAAACAGTCTCTCCTCTTCTGTGTTTTGGGGACTTTAAACACTGGAGAAATCACAAGATCAGTTCTGGGCTCACACATGATGGTGACACTGTTTCATCCCAGGGCAAAACCAAATGTCCAGTTTTCAAGTCTCTTCCCAAACTCAACGTTCAGGACACTCGTGGAGGTGAGGAGAATGGCTTACAGACTATCCAAAAGCACGTTTGGAGAAAAACAAGAACTTTACTGAAAGGATGCATTCCTGGGAAAATCAAGTCACCTTTGTAACATCAATATTATATAAGCGCTCAAATAACAGCAACTGTGAAAGGCGTTAATGACCAGTACCTGATATTTTAGAGACATTAAGATGGCATAGGCCGAAACTGGTTTGGCTCAGTGGTAGAGTGTCGGTCTGCGGACTAAAAGGTCCCAGGTTTGATTCCAGTCAGGGGCATGTATGTGGGTTACAGGCACATCCCCAGTAGGAGGTGTGCAAGAGGCAGCTGGTCGATGTTTCTCATTGACGTTTCTAGCTCTCTCTCCCTTCCTCTCTGTGAAAAATCAATAAAATATATATTTTTTAAAAAATTTAAAAAAAAAGATGGCATATACCAGAAAACAAGAGACTACAGCTGCCTTCTGAGGATAGATCTTTTTAAAAAATATTTTTTTTATTGGTTTCAGAGAGAGAATCATTGATTGGCTGCCTCTTGCACAGCACCTACTGGGGATCGAACCTGCAACAGGGGATCGAACTGAACTGTGACCTCCTGGTTCACAGGTCGACGCTCAACCCCCTGAAGACAGATCTTACTCATTGTTGCATCTTTAGACTCCAGCACCATGGAAGAGGTTGAACAAATCTTTTCATAGCAGTATCTGAACTTTTCCTCCCAGGGCTAGATCACAAACGGGGACTATGTGAGGCTGGGCGCTGGGCACAGGGCCAGAGGCTTCCTCGAGACGCCTGGCCCTGGAGGTAGCTTGACATCTGTCTCACATTCTATAGATTGTGAACAAGACGACTATTGCTTCCATAGTGAAATCAGTAATTTGCTCACTTATGAATGTTTTAAGGAGCTCAGAAAGCTTCTATTTTTTTTTTCTGATCAAGAAATTTAGTCATTTATACAGAGAGCTGAGACACTAATCTACCAAGAACCAAAAACAGGAAAGTGAGCCCTTCCTCTTGGAAAAAACTAAAAATCTTCCAAATGTGGTCAGTACTTCCATAGGTCGGTACTTCTGTAGCACCATGCTATATTACAAAACCTTCATTCTGCCGGCCAGCCAGACCCAGACGGTAGCGGCCACTTTTTCCTACCGTTCTCCTCCCTCTTACGGAGTGGGCTGGCTCGGCTGGCCATGCTTTCTGGTTTGTGTAGCCTGGCCCCAGGGCCACCCCCGGCTCAGTGGACTTGCTACTGTTCTCTTCAGTGACAACTGATATCTCCCAGTGGAAGACTAGCATTTTGATATTTCAGAAATGACTGAATTGATTCTAAAAAGATTTGAAAACCAAGTTCTGCCTCTGAGATTGGTGGTTTAAAGAATACAATGTGCTTTCTCTGTGGTGGGATGTGGTTCCATCTTGTAGAAAGTGACAGATTTAGTGCAATCTTTCTACACGGGACAGTAACACACAGGGTGGATCTAAACACATGCACACGCACACGCACACCCCCCCCTCTTCTGAGAGAACCCTCGCACAGATAAACTTCCCCACAGAGGGCTCCTTCAAGGCAGTTTCGAATCAGACTGGGGACTGTGCTGAAGCGGCTGAATGCCGTGTCTTTCTGGAATACTCACGACACTGCCACCATGTCTGAGGAGAAAAAGAGAATCTTGGGAAAAGGGCTAAACAAACAAAAATGGGTGCGAGAGTTCCTGCTCCAATCAGCCTGGCGTTCTTTGCGCAGCCTGCTTCCCCGCAGTTCTCAGCTGCCCAGTCTGAGCCAGTTTTCAGTTGCACTCAGGTGAGAACCAGCATGCTGCTGGGCAGTTTCTAAGAGATATTCCATGACGGGAAGCAAACACCCTAACCTCCGAGGGGCACCAGCCCCAGACCCGGCTGTACGACAGGCTGAGCGCGCGGCAGGACGAGGAAATGCAGGCCTTCCTCCCGCCCGATGGGAACTGATTACTAACGGCAGGGACAGAGGGTTGTGCCCTGGCACAGCTTCGTTTAGAGGTGCCGTGTGCCCACAGGCGATGGCTGTTTATGTGCATGTCCGGCTGAACGGCCTGGCCTGGCCACACTGCCCAGTTCATAGAAAGGTGCCCTGAGCTGCAAGGCAAGGCAGAAGGGAAACCACCGAACGCCCACGGACAGGTTCGAGAGGAGTAACCTGGATCTTCGCATCTGCCCGCGGGACGTGAGCGCGTCTGGTGCCAATGGCTGTTGGAGGCCCCTTTCTTCTGGCACCTGGCTCTCCGCCTGACCCGCCGGCTCACCAAGGGCAATACTGGCTTCCTCCCAACTCCTGCTTGGCACAGGCACACCTGATCCCTGACTTTACAAACCACCAGCTCCTGGCTATTGGTCTGAGCTCTGACCTACCGTCAGAGACACTCATTTGTTCTAAAAAAAGAAAACCAGGACAGAAAGTGCTTCACCAGCCATTTACTCTTCTTTAATGCTACGGCCTTTGGGCACACATTGTACCTGCTACTGAGGAAATGATGACAGCGAGGCTGAGTGCACTGATTCATAGCACGTTCTGTGCACCACACAAAGGAAAAGCCTGGATAGCGGGATCAGCTGCTTCCACCACAGAGCTGTCTTAGGAAAGAACGTGTATGGGGGGAGCGGAGGGAGAGACAGGGAACAAAGAAGGCATCGAGGGACAAGCAAACCTACAAGTCTGTCTAAAAATTAGGGATTTGGGGCAAAACCAGAATTACCTAAGGGTGCCAGAGAGTCACTGTTATAGTTCCGTTATTTCCAGAAATTACTGAACTTGGAACCCGAGGTTAACACTTTTAAGATAAAGCAACCTCACATAAATTCATACTGGCCTTGGGAGGAAATGGCAACCATAGATGGTAATGAGTGTCAGTGCGTGAGAACAGAAACCGTCCAAATCAACGCATACATCTGACTTGACTCCAGGTGAAAAAAAGAGTCTTATTTAAAACTGTTAAGTTTGTAGCAAAAGAAATTTGAGAGTGAAAGTTTGAACCCCTTTTCGCCTTCCCATTGTGCTGCTGGTACTGCCTTCCTCATAGTACCTCCTGAAAAGGTTCAGAGTTCCACACAGACTGATTAGGCTTACACGCGTTCCGGGTGAGTCCTGTTTGGTTTAACCACTCCCTCTAGCATCGTGGTCGTGGCAGTCCTGAGAGTCTGCAGTGCTGGTAAGTCCGCCTCTCAAACTGCCGGTGGGAGGGAGCACAGCAGCTTTTTGGCCCATCACTTTTCTTTGTCCTTGTCCCTAAAATCTGGTAGTTTGTTCCAGGGGCCTCGGTCCACCACCACCACGACGGCTGTTCAGAATCGTTTTCTGTAGATACCTCCTTCCGATGGCCAATAGTGCAGGTGGTCAGGAAGACATGGAAGGAAGCTGCAAAAAGTCCAGCTGGAAACTGTGACTTTGTTAGATGTAGACACAGGAAAATCACCGTTGTCCTTCCCAGAGTTTATTATGGTTAGAGGAGAAAAATCCATGGAAGTCTCATCCCAAATCTGCTAAATATAAAATTGATGGAATGCTAACTGGTCCATAAAGGGCTGCACAAGATAATCTGTGGCAAAGTAGAAAACAAGCCCGAAGGTGATCGAGATCGGAAGAGCGGGCAATGCTTTCTTGAAAATGGCGAGGAGTAATAATGTAAGGCACAAACCCTGCGGGGGAGAGGGGCCAAGACACAAACCCAGACATCATTATGAAAGTATTTTGTGCAAAACAACTCAATCACAAGTCTCCCATTTAATTTAGTTAATTAAATACAATCCTCTGAGGTTAAATTTTAGAACAAAAGTTCCCATTAAACCCGGAAACAACTTTTATTTTTCCTCTGCAATACAGAATTCAAGATACACACATTCTTGATTCTTCATCCCCTAATTCTAGGCAAGGAACAGAACCTGAAGCCCTAACCAGTTTGGCTCAGTGGATAGAGCGTCGGCCTGCGGACTGAAGGGTCCCAGGTTTGATTCCAGTCAAGGGCATGCACCTTGCTTGCGGGCACATCCCCAGGAGGGAATGTGCAGGAAGCAGCTGAATTGATGTTTCTCTCTCATGGATGTTTCTAACTCTCTATCCCTCTTCTTTCCTCTCTGTAAAAAATCAATAAAATGTATATTTAAAAAAAAAATTAGAACCTGAAAATAAGTAAAACTATTCTTGAAAAAACTTAATGCCAAAAATTCTATCTAAAATATTGAGTTGGCTACACTCAGTTAAGTTTGGCTGCCTAAAACCCCAGAAATGAAAAACATTTTTATGCTGTGGGTTGCCGGGAGGCAAAGATTTTCACAGAATATGCTGATAAAGTTTATAAAAGTGCCCCAGCCAGGTGCTCTGGTTGGCTGTGGGTTCGATTCCCTGTCAGGGCACATACCTAGGTTGCAGATTTGATCCCTGGTCACGGTCCATGGGGAAGGCAACCAATCAATGACCCTCTTTCTCTCCCCCACCCCCTTGTCTCTCTAAAATCACAATCAGTTAACATATCCTCGGGTGAGGATTTTTTTCTTAAGTTTATGAAAATTATATTGCTGCTCTCTTGGAAATAGAACAGCCCTATAATATAGTCCATTTTTACTCTATTTATTGAGACACTATAAATTCTGGAGGCTAAGCATCATTTCAGGTTTATCCAGAATAAATACTTTTCTTCCTAAAAGCTGCAACACATCCAAAAAATTGATATCAAAAGAGAAATAAAATACAAGAAAATTCTAACTGGGTAGATTAGCACTATAAATCACAAAATAAATGCAATATAAAGGCTGTCATAACTTCACTCACATATGAAACAAAGAGCATCTTTAATAAATAAAAAAGGGGGGGCAGTAATAAATATCTTCTGAGTTATTTACTTAAATCATAGTTCTGGAAGCTTTAGGATTCATGGTGTGGCTCTATGGGCAAGATCTATAGGAGATCATGCACTGTGTTACCTTTTCTGGCCTCACAGCTGCTGCCCAAAGGAACTCTGTACCCTGCAGGCTGTGGCATTAAATGCAAAAATCACCACCAGCCGAGACCGGTTTGGCTCAATGGAGAGAGCGTTGGCTTGGGGACTGAAGGGTCCCGGGTTCGATTCTGGTCAAGGGCATGTACCTTAGTTGCGGGCATATCCCCAGTAGGGGGTGTGCAAGAGGCAGCTGATCTATGACTCTCTCTCGATGTTTCTAGCTCTCTCTCTCCCTTCCTCTCTGTACAAAATCAATAAAATATATTTAAAAAAAAAAATCACCACCAAACACAGGCACTGAGTGAGGATCTGCTCACCCCTTTAAAGACACAGCTAATTTCCAACATATCTATGCTGTCTGAAGCAATGGTTCCTAATCAGAAGTACTTACAGCACTTCCTGGGGAACTTTAAAAATAAGATACACAATTGAAACAAATTAAGAGTATCTCAGGATGGGGACACGGTTTTAAAAGGTCTCAGGTGATTTTACTGTGTGGCCTCCTGGAGAACTGTCAGGGGAGGCCTAATTGTTTTTAAAAAGCTGCCAGGGGATTGGAACACTCAGCCCAGAGGGGTTAAATGGGGCTGCCAGACAGAGCCGAGAGGAGGTGTTCTGGCATGTTTTTATTAGTGTGTACTTACAATTAATATGGCTACAAAACAGGCTATGGTCGTGTTCCAGTCTCCACTGGCTGTGGCGGAAGCTTTTCCGACCAGAACGCTGTAGAAAATGAAATCTCCTAATCCGAGCTTTACTCCTCCTGAAAAGGAAAGATTACAAATATAAACAGTTTGTCACTCTTGGCTATGATTTCACAATTCAAAAATGTCCCTGCTCTACTCCACCCTGAATGAGAAGTCAGTAAATGGTATCATACAAAATTAGGCTTGGGCTAAGTTTTCTTCCTTTTCTTTTTCTTTTCTTTCTTTCTTTCTTTCTCTCTTTTTTTTTTTTTTTTTTTTTTTTAACAATACGAGCTTCAGATTTTATGTGGCTGACTCCGGGATCTTAACCAGATACTGCTGTTAAGTATCAAAAATAATAACAACAAGTAATTGTCATCTCTTGAACGCCTGGTTTATACATGGCACTTATTCTAATAAATCCTCACAAAGACCCCTATGAGATAAGTGTCATCCCCCCTTTTAAAAACAGCTTTCCTGAGGTACCATTCATTTCATAAAATTCATCTATTTGTGTAAGTGTAGAATTCAATCATTATAAAAAACTTAGAACTGTGTAACCATTTTCACAATTCCCATTTCCAACACCCTGATAAAACACCTGTGCCCATTTAGAGAATCCCCACTCCGACCAGCTCTCTCTATAAATCTGCCTTTTCTAGACAGCTCATAGAAACGGACTCAGACATTATGAAGTCTTTTGTGACTGGCTTCTTTCACTTAACGTTTCTGAGGTTTATCCATGCTACTTCATGTCTGTAGCTTGTTCCTTTTTACTGATGAATACTTCCCCGCTGTATGAATATACTACCTATAAGCTTGTTTATCCATTTACCAGGAGACGGGCACGTGGATTGTTTTCAGTTTCGGACTATTATGAATAATGCTGCCACAAACATTATATAATAAAAATATACTGAAATGTGGTCCTTTGTATTGGTTTCTTTCACGTAGCATAATGTTTTTTGTTTGTTTTTAAATATATTTTATTGATTTTTTTTTTTTAGAGAGAGGAAGGGAGAGGGATAGTTAGAAACATCGATGAGAGAGAAACATTGATCAGCTGCCTCCTGCACACTCCCTACTGGGGATGTGCCCACAACCAAGGTACTTGCTCTTGAACGAATCGAACCTGGGACCTTTCACTCCACAGGCCAACGCTCTATCCACTGAGCCAAAGTGGTTAGGGCAAAGGACCACATTTTTATTAAATATCCAGAACAGGAAAACATATGAAGATAGTATACACTGGTTGGTGTTGAGAGGTGTGGAGGCTAATGAATGGATAAAGGTTTCTTTCTGAGGTGATGAATATGTTCTAGAATTCACTTATGGTGATGATTGCCTAACTCTGAATACAATAAAAATCAATGCACTGTATACTTTATATGGGGGGATGGAGAGGTGGCACCTAACAAGTGTGGGTTTCTTTTGGGGATAATGAAAACATTCTAAAATTAATTGTGATGAAGCTAGAACACTTCTGTGAATATTCTAAAGCCACAACTTTACATGCATGAACCGTTATAGTAAGTGAATTATATCTCAATATAGCTTTAAAAAATAATGTATTGAATCAAGCTTAAAATTACGGCCTCACATTTTTTTCATTTTTAAAAAAAGGAGATAAATGTAATACTTTAAATTTAAAAAAATAATAATTTAAACATTTTTTTTAATATATTTTATTGATTTTTTACAGCGAGGAAGGGAGAGAGATAGAGAGCTAGAAACGTCAATGAAAGAGAAACATCGACCAGCTGCCTCTTGCACACCCCCTACTGGGGATGTGCCCGCAACCAATGTACATGCCCTTGACCGGAATCGAACCCAGGACCTTTCAGTCCGCAGACCGACGCTCTACCACTGAGCCAAACCGGCTTCGGCATAATTTAAACATTTTAAAAATAAAAAATAAAGTCTTGTGTAAATAATAGCAATACAAGCAGTCCTTGGCTTATGTCGGAGATCCATTCCTACAGTGTGACGTAACGCGATTGTCGCCGTAATGGAAACCCACCTACATAAGCACCTACGTCACGCACATGGAGCACACACACAGCGGAAATGAAGTCAAACAGTAAAAAAAATTTAAAAGAAAGATAATTCCTGACTTTTACTTGTGGTAAATAAATAATAAAAAACATAAAGCCATATGTACATCCATCGAAATGACGGAATTTTTAAAAAATAAATAAATGGGAGATGGCGATGTAACCACCAAACAACGTAAGTTGAGTCTGACATAACCAAGGGACTGCCTGTACTGTGATAAATGCTATGGTACTACTTCACATAATTCATTTTAGTGAAGAGATAAATACAGGTATATTTTATTAGCAAAATTAAAATAGAGAAAGAAGCCAGCTGGCGTGGCTCAGGGATTGAGCATCAACCTATGAACTAGGTAGGAAGTCATGGTTCGATTCTTGGTCAGAGCACATGTCCGGGTTACGGGCTCAGTCCCTAGTATGTACGTGCAGGAGGCAGCCGATCAATGGTTCTTTCACACCATTCATGTTTCTATCTCTTCTCCCTCTCCCTGCCTCTCTGAAATCAGTGATAAAAATATATTTAAAATAGAGGAGGGGAAAAACAAAGAAGTAACCATCAATGTTTTTTCTTTAGCACTTACCAAAAGGACACATTTTATTGACCTATAATCAGAAGAAACTGAATCAGTATATAAAACCTAAGAAAAATCAGTTGCTGGGAATTTGTTTTCTTTAAACAGCTCACTTTTATTTATTCAATCAAACTAAACAACTAAACAAACAACTAAAATTATAGCCCTGAAAACTGCTTAAGTTAGACATAATGAATTAATTGTATGCTATTGCCAAGTATGTTAAAATTGGCTGCTAGCCTTTTTCTACTATTTGCTTATAATGGTTAACAGAAGTCTGCCTTCTGTTGTTTTTTATTTTGTTTTGTTTTGTTTTTGCCAACTCTGAAAAATAATTTTAAGTAATTATGGTATTCTTTTAATATTAAAAGGGGCATCTGATGGTCTACCAAACACAAGACATAGTAAAGACAATAAATGTTGGTGACTGCTCACTTTAATTATAAGGTTTCTCTATATGACCTCCAGCAGCATATGTGTCTAGCTTATGTATAATAGCATAATAATGACTATTTCCTATTATCTCTTAAATAAATATAAACATATTAAAAACTGCCTTTTATACTACTAAAATCTCTTCCTCCACTTAAAAAAAATATAGCAAAACCCTTCTCTCTCCTTCCTTGAGGTAAATAGGAAAAGAACCTCCATGAGTCAACTCCCCACTCCTGGAAACACCAGGCTCCTTTCCCTGCTCTGGTCAATTGTAAGATTAACAGTAGTGCACCGAGGATGAGCCTGCTGGCCGCATGATGTTTGAAGGAAGAATATTTTTGAAATTCACTAGAACAGTGTTTCCCAAAGTGTGGTACGCGTACCCCCAGGGGTATGGGAAGAGTTTGGTGGGGGTACACGTTGCACCGGAGTTTGGTGGGGATATGCACTGCACCGTGCTTAGCTGCGCCTAATTCTACGTTCTCATGGGTACTCAGCGTTACAAAAATTATAGAAGGGGTACACATATGTCAAAAGTTTGGGAAACACTACACTAGAAGATCAACGGCCTTCACACTGAATAAAAATGTTTTACATTTCTAATTAAAGGCTTTGTTTAGTTTTCTGATTAAATGTTGACTTTATTTTTTAAATATATTTTATTGATTTTTTTACAGAGAGGAAGGGAGAGGGATAGAGAGTTAGAAACATTGATCAGCTGCCTCCTGCACACCCCTACTGGGGATGTGCCCGCAACCAAGGTACATGCCCTTGATTGGAATCAAATCCGGGACCCTTCAGTCCCCAGGCCGATGCTCTATCCACTGAGCCAAACCAGTCAGGGCTAAATGCTGATTTTTAAAAGGTTGTCCTGGAAGACATAGGTGTCTTTTTAGAAATAATTTCTAGTTTAAACGGAGACCGTTATAAGTAACCATAAGTCTGGTTTAAAACACTAATGTAATCAGAGTGGTTGTGTGGTAGTGGATGCTAAGATGATGAAATATTAGTTTATATTGGTCCCAAATTAAATATTAATCTGAAGTTAGGAGGAACTTGCCAACAAAGGGAATAACAATGTAAAAGATGGAAACATTCAAACCCATTGGTCTCTGTACAACAAAAAGTAAAAAATATTAATAAAATATTTGTACACAATAATACTGCAGCCATGAAATCTTACTGAAAAAATAAATAAATCTTTGACCTTATAAAACAAATACCAAAGATCAGACTGTAAAAGGCCAATTTCAACAACTTGAGGGGCAGAATTTGACCCATTAACAAATAATGCTATGAGAAAAGCCACGACTAGCCCAGCCACTATGGCTCAGTGGTTGGGCATCAACCTATGAACCAGGAAGTTGCAATTTGATTTCAGATCAGGGAACATGCCTGTATTGTGGGCTCTATCCCCAATGAGGGGGCATGCAGGAGCCAAATGATCAATGATTCTCTCTGATCATTGATGTTTCTATCTCTCTCTCTCTCCCTTTCTGAAATCAATAAAAAAAAAAAAAAAAAAAAAAAAAATATATATATATATATATATATATATATATCTACACTAATAAAAGAGAAACATGCAAATTTACCACCACTTCACAACACCCACCAGCCAATCAGGAGCGAGTATGCAAATTAACCTCATTACCCCCATGGAGACTAGCAGCAGGGAGGAGGCAGCTTCCAGCATGGCCTGCTTGGCCATTGCCGCGGTGTGGAGCAGGCAGGCCCTGCAGAGAGCAGAGAGCCACAGGGAGTAGGCCTAAGCCATCAGTAGGACATCCCCTGAGGGCTCCCAGATTGGAGAGGGTGCAGGTTAGGCTGAGGAACATCCCCTCCCTCCACATGAATTTCGTGCACCAGGCCTCGTGTGTGTGTGTGTGTGTGTGTGTGTGTGTGTGTGTGTGTGTGTGTAAAGAAAAGCTTTATATAACATCTATTGTTATTTCCCACTAAAAGCTGTGCTGTTACTTAGAAGTTGACTAGTGCTCTGGGTTAATTTTATTGTGGGAGGGCTTGATGCTGCAGCACCTACAGGAATCCATGACTTTCAATTAGAGAAATGCACATACTTTCCTCTGGGTCCTCACTGGCTACGATGCTGCTGGAAATTTCCTGTACAGCACTTCGTGACTCAGCTGTAGAGTGATGAGGTCCCAGGCGACTGTCCCTCTGGGCTTCCCACTCTTCATTGAAGCCACCATCATCACTCTCTGTCACAGGGTTCTGTGGCTCACTCGCTGTGTCTTCAAGAAAAAGAAATCACAACTGTAATATTCAGAAAATGTTCTTAATACCTTTTAGAAAGTTACATGGAAACAGTAACTACTTGGTTGTCATAATTGGTTACCTGGCTCTTTAACCACAAAACATGGGTTGTAGCAGGGCCTGTTGGTTGCTTACCCATTAACCATTTCTTCCCTTATTCCTGAGGGCAGTCCTGATGTGTTTGGATTTCTACCTCTCGCTCACATGACTCAAGTGTAAATCCTGATCGATCCAAGTCCATCATTCCTCTTCCCAATGAAAGCTCTGAGGCTATGGGTTTGGTACTAGTCAGTGTGTGATGAAGCAAAGCCTGCTACAAATTTGGGGGAAATTTTTCACTCTTTACTAACTGCCCCCCTTCCTCCCTATATGTTGTCTTATCTGGATATGATGCCTGGAACTGTATTTGTTATCTTGCAACCATGAGGAGCAGTGTGCAAAGGATCAAGCTATATTTAAGGATGGCACAGAGGGAAGACGGAAAGAACCTGGGTCCTTGATAACACTGACGAGCCACAAAATTAACTAACCCTAATACGTCTACACTTCAAGACTCTGGTCATGTGAGAGAACACATTTCTTCTTGTTTAAAGCAAACAAGTTTTTTTTTTTTTTTTTTTTTTTAATGTTTGCAGCTGAAAGCTTTCTAACCACTCCTTTCTGAAAACTCAGCTCTGGCTTTAGTGCCTAAGTTATACAGCAGGGAGGTGAAGGGTGCGGTGGGTAGGGAACACATTTTTTATGGGCTAGTCATTCTGTCATGACTGTCGGTCTGAAAATTGTGAGCATAATTTGAGAGTCTTGAGAACCTTCCACACAACAAAAATAATTATAATGCATTACGTGGCGTTGATAATATTTTTTTTTCTTTTTTCTTTGTTTATAAAAATGACACATGTTCCTAGCAGAGGTAGATTTACCATGAATAAATTAAGCCTGTTCACTTCAGGCCTCTCCCTTGCATACATTTTTTTCTGGGAGGGGTCCTCACAATTTTGTATTCTTTTTCTTAATCAGTTACCACAAAATGGAATCTTCCCTGGTTTGGAGTTTGTGAAGTTACAGAAGCATAAGGTTTACAAATAAAGATAAAAACAGCAGTCCCTGCTCTGTCCCTTCCCTCCTCCTATTCTCACTTCTATTTTCAAACTTCTCAGCTGTTTCCTTTGGTGTTAGCATTCACAGTTAATTATAAATAGCATGTTCATAGTGTGATATCTTGATGTTTTCATTTCAGGTTAAAACGTAATCACTTCCTACACGGAAATGAAGCATTGCTTTCATATTCATGCCCACATGTAAATTGACCTCTCCCCATAGTCTCAATACGTCATCATCTTATGTTCAATTTTTATACTATCACAATGCAAAAAGTATTCACAACTAAAATACTTGGCTACAATCAGAATATACTCTAATTACATTTGCTTCTTCTGTATGATTTTTTGTTTTCTCTGGCAAATCGCCTAATTTTTTTCCTTAACCAATTTTTTATGTATTACAACTAATTCATCCTCAAACTCTCTCTCTCTCTCTTTTTTTTTTTTTTTTTAATATATTTTATTGATTTTTTTTACAGAGAGGAAGGGAGAGAGATACAGAGTCATCGATCATCCTCAAACTCTTAGCAGAGGTCACAGTCAGGTAACCTCCCAGCTCTGTTCTGGTCTTTCCTTGTACAGACATCCCTCCTGGAGGCCTATTGCCTGTTTGCTCCCATCAGGTGTCTAGTTCCTCTAGTGTTTTCCCAGGGAGTATTTGGAACTAACTTCCTTGGAGGAGTTTTGAGTTGTTGTAACACCTGGAAGTCACATAAGATGACAATGACCCGAAACCCCAGGAAATTACCAAATAAAATTTACCTACTTTGTTCACTATAATTGGAGTTTTTGGATACCTTCCTTTGGGCTTCGGGGTCTCCTTTTGCCATATTCACCAACCACACCATGGTTGCTGTTAAGAAAGACAGAAGTCCAGGTAAGCATTGGAAACACAGAAGGGAAGTGCACGAATAGACAGCAGGCCATCAGTTCTCCACACAAATCACCAAGCTTCTTTTTCTTTTTCTTTCAATCTTTATTGTTGAAAGTATTACATAGTTCATCTTTTTCCCCCCATTAACCTCTTCCTACCATCTTCTTTATGTCCCCTAAAGCATGCTTAAAAAACAGAACTAGATGTATTTTAAAAATACAAAAGGTTCTCTTTGATTCTGGCATATAAAAAATTCTGAATTTAAAACCGCAGCTGCTATTGTAAAAGTGCCGTCATCATTCACAGTCCCTGAAAAGTAACCAAAAGGAAAGCTCTTCAGGCCAGCAAGGTTCCACTGCAACAGTAGCTGGACTAGTTGAATTTCCTAAAATAGTGTCAATTCACAGATAAAAATTAGTTCTTGGAACTAAATTAGAGGACAAAATAGGGTTCACAAGAGTATCATCTGCTTATTATAATTCTAAAAGTGCATAGAGTAAGTTTCTTTCATATCATGTGCCGTTTCTGGATTTTCAATAATGCTAGCCTATGTTACATATGGAGAATAAGAAAAAAATATATACATAGATACATACATATCTCTGTCACATTTTAGTGAAGAGATAATATCAATACTTTAAAATGGTGCTTCTCATGTATTTCATGGAACTAAAAATGGTATAGACCCTACTGGAGGGGAATATGGTAACATCTAACAAAACTACATATACATTATCCCTTAGACCAAGGTATACCACTTTTGGGAAGTCATCCTGAAATTACAACAACAATAATATAAAAATTCATATAAACATGTACCCCACAGGGCTACATCAGGAACCAAATCCTAACCTGATCATAGTAAGCAATTTTAAACAAGACACTTGGCATCTATGTCCTTCTGGCTTTTTGTTATAAATTTTATCATTATACCTATGTTCCTAATACTCTTAGGCTTTTTGAGTAACTTATGAAAAAAAACACACACAAAAAAAAAGAGGCAGAAAATTCTATAATAGGCATATTTAATCATGACTTTGTTATTTTGAAGTTAAATAAGTTACATTATCCAATAACATTATCAAAGTCAACATAAGCCGGGCAGGCAATGCACTGTTCAACTAAATCCAAACCCAAATAAGACAAACAGAAGGCAACCATATGTTCCAGGCTTATGGATTTCGGTAGCCTTCTTAGAAACACAGCAGCAGGTGTTTATTTGATTTTTTTTCTTTATGCAAAGGAGAAAATATTGCTACAAACTCTCTTAATATTTAATATTACTACAGAAATCAGGGGTCTACCGACTTTTCCAATAAAGGGCCAAACAGTAAACATTTCAGGCTTGTGGGTCACATCTGGCTTTTATCACATATTTTTCTTTATTCTTCAGCTCAAGAAACTTTTATGGTTCTCCACTGATCATGAAAAGCATGGAGAGCTAACCCAGTCACTCAAATCTATAGTTGATCTTGCTGTAATCTGCTTCTCTAAACTCTCCCAAGTATTCTCCCCATTGTGTACTTCATGTTCTAGTCAAAGTAAACACTTTAAATTTGATGAAGAGGCCCCACACTTATATCTCCAAGCCATTCTTTGTGACAAGCCCAGTTATGGAATTGATTTCCCTCTGTGCTTGCTGCAATCCTACCGTATCCTTAACAAATTCAATCCAAATGCTGTCTCTTCCAGGAAGCCTTCCCTGTGTCCCCAGCCAGACTTCCTCTCTTTTGAACTCTCTCCACTTCTCACTCTGATCACATTCTTCCTTAGATGCCGCTTATTGGTATATTTTCTTATCTGATCCCTAAAGTGTAAGCAAATGAGCTCTAAAGGAAGGCAAAGTATCTTAATCATCTTTTTGTCCCCTACAATGCTCTGTGGGAAAAGATGGTCAATGCCCAATAAATATTTACTGAATTATTAGGAAAAGGGTGACTCTAAAACAAAAAAGGCAAACACATTCTAAAGGAACAGTACAATTCTTTCATAAACTCTGCAAGATATGTCTATAACAAATACTCAATAACACTTGACTAGTAAAATTTTAAGTGAGAATACTGGCTCCCCAATTTCTAAATATTTCTTCTATCTTGCCCTGGCCAGTATGGCTCAATTGGTTGAGCATTGTCCCATACACCAAAAGGTTTTTAGTTCAATTCCCAGATTGTGGGCTTGTTTCCTGGTTGGAGTGAGTGCAGGAGGCAGCCAATCAATGTTTCTCTCTCTCTCTCTTTCTCTCTAATATCAATAAAAAACTTTATTTCTTCTCTCTCTACCATGTCAGGTGGAAGATAATAATTTGCAAGGAAGCAGAGATCTGCATTTAAGATGAGATAAAAAGTACCATGATAGCCGAAACCCGTTTAGCTCAGTGGATAGAGCGTCAGCCTGCGGACTGAAAGGTCCTGGGTTCAATTCTGGTCAAGGGCATGTACCTTGATTGCGGGCACATCCCCAGTGGGGGTTGTGCAAGAGGCAGCTGATCAATGATTCTCTCTCATCGATGTTTCTAACTCTCTATCCCTCTCTCTTCCTCTCTGTGAAAAAATCAATCAAATATATATTTAAAAAAAAAAAAAAGTACCATGATAATGACCTCGTCATGTGTGTTTCAGTTCCTATAAACTCTAAGCTGCTTACTAATTTAGTACCATTCCAAATACTTACAGGAGTAAATGAGAGCTGGAAAGAGAGTTTCATTTCTTTCCTGAGCTGTTTCAACCAGCATACGAAGTGGGCCTTTTGGACACAAAACAGCCACTAAATCTAGAAAGAAAAATAGAAAAGACATCTGAAAAAATGTATTGGCTAAACTTGTAAGTAGGTGTGTTAGAGAAAAATTAGCCAATAGAGAATATTTAAAATTTTTTTAAATAAAAAGATGTGAAATGGCCCTGGCTAGTGTGGCTCAGTTGGTTGTGTGTCTTCCTGTGCACTGAAAGGTTGCTGGAGAAATTCCCAGTCAGGGCACACTTTGGGGTCACTGCCTCAATCCCCATCAGGGAACATGCAGGAGGTAGCCCATCAATGTTAGCCTATTACACTGATGTTTCTCGCTCGCTCTAAAATTAATAAACTATTTTTTTAAAGATGTTGAATGAATATGAAATAAATAGCAGGTAAACTGATATGGGGCAACCTAAACAAAACCCTACAAATCTGTGCAAATTTTATTTTGGTTTTGATGCTATTTGGTTAGTTTACAATGTATCTTTATTGGGTTCTAAGAATAACTCTTCCCAGTTTGAAGAAAAGAGGCAGAGATAATTGCAAGACAGAACTATTCTAGAGCAATTGTCAATGTCCAATAAGCAGAAAATAGGGACAAGCCATTTATTTTTAAAAGAATAATTCTACCCAAATGCCTTATAAAAAGATAACCTAATTTTTATTTTAAAAATTAAGTGAGCCCAGCCAGTGTTGCTTAGGGGTTGAGCACTGACCTACAAATCAGGAGGTCACAGTTTGATTTCCAATTAGTGCACATGCCCAGGTTGGGGCTCAATACCTAACCTGGTAGGAGGCAGCCGATTAATGATTCTCTCTCATCATTAATGTTTCTATCTCTCTGCCTCTTCTTTCCTCTCTGAAATCAATAAAAGTATATATTTTTTTAAATTAAAATGAGCATTTTATGTGTTACACATATATTCTGAACCATTACAAATTCTGGGAAGCATTGTTCCCATTTTCCAAATGAGGCAACTGAAGCTCAAATAGGCTGAGTCACATTCCTAAGATCACAGACTGTCAGTGGCACAGATAGGAAGATATGAACCTAAGTAAGTCTCCTGACCAGAAATCTGTCTATCACTGAGTTAAACTGGAGGCAATAATAAAATATTTTTTAAGATATTAACCTCAAAAAATTGAAATCTTTCTATGATAAAGATGCCATTGCTCATTATTTGCTAATTAATTATGAAAATGATCATTTTCATAAGTCAAGATAACTAGAAGAGGAAGGAAAATACACCAGGTGAGGTATCTCTGTGATTAAATTAAAAAAAAAAGTCAATCTCGGGTTTTACCATATACTGAAATCACAGCCAAGATGAGCCATGCAGTCCATTCTGGGAGGTACTTGATAAATACCAGGGCCATGAGGGCACTGATCATGATGAGATACGCCTGCTGGAGTCGCAGTGGACCTTTCCAATGAATGGCAATCATTCCCACCACACCAAAATTCCAGATCAGGAGGGCAACAGTAATGTAGTCTACGGCAACATTATAGGTTTTAAACACTTCCCTGAAAAAAATGAAACAGAGATATAAAAAGATTTATGTAGAATAATTTCCTCAAAACACTGTTTAGAACTATAGTTCTCAAACATTAGGTATTCATATCCCACCTTCATATTTTTACCATATCTTGTACCAACTGTGCTATTATTTTAACATTTTCTTTAAATTAATTCAGTTTTCTCGTCAAATTATTATTTTTTTAAATATATTTTATTGATTTTTTACAGAGGAAGAGAGAGGGACAGAGAGTTAAAGACATTGATGAGAGAGAATCATCGATCAGCTGCCTCCTGCGCACCCTCCACTGGGAATGTGCCCACAACCAAGGTACATGCCCTTGACCAGAATCGAACCTGGGACCCTTCAGTCCACAGGCTGACGCTCTATCCACTGAGCCAAACTGGTTTTGGCCTCCTCAAATTATTATTTTTTTAAAAAAAAACAGATTTTTCACAGAGAGGAAGAGAGAGGGACAGAGAGTTAGAAACATTGATGAGAATCATCGATCAGCTGCCTCCTGCACCCCCCCCCACTGGGGATGTGCCCACAACCAACGTACATGCCCTTGCCCGGAATCGAACCCAGGACCCTTCAGTCCGCAGGCCGACGCTCTATCCACTGAGCCAAACCAGTCCTGGCCTCCTCAAATTATTTTAACAGAAAACTGTATCATTCATATAAATGGAAAACCAGTAACATAGACCGTAGCTATAAAAATAAGTACAAACACTAAAAAAGGCTACATACCACCTAAAATACCAAATTCTATGCTTTGGAAACTCTCGTTTAAAATATCTGAAATTATGCCGAAACCGGTGGATAGAGTGTCGGCCTGCAGACTGAAAGGTCCCAGGTTCGATTCCGGTCAAGGGTATGTACCTTGGTTGTGGGCACATCCCCAGTGGGGGTGTGCAAGAGGCGGCTGATCAATGTTTCTAACTCTCTATCCCTCTCTCGCCCTCTCTGTAAAAAAATCAATTAAAAAAATATATTTAGCCGAAACCGGTTTGGCTCAATGGATAGAGCGTCGGCTTGGGGACTGAAGGACCCAGGTTCGATTCCGGTCAAGGGCATGTACCTTGGTTGCAGGCATATCCCCAGTGGGGGGTGTGCAAGAGGCAGCTGATCGATGACACTCTCTCATCGATGTTTCTAACCCTCTATCTCTCTCCCTTCCTCACTGTACAAAATCAATAAAATATATTTTAAAAATATATATATATATTTAAAATATCTGAAATTATAACAAAGGGATGGGAGGAATGATTCACGTAGTCACCTGTAATGCTGGTTTTAATGTTGGGCAAGATTAGAGATTAGAGAGTGTGGAAATTTTATGAAAAACCAGCATTTCATTTTTAAAAAAACATGTTTTCCAAAAAAAATCTATGGCAGAACACGTGCTATATATTTAAATAAAATGCATTAAAATATTAAAATAAAGAAAGAAAATACCTGAAATTGACAAAAATGAAACATGAACAATTAATTTCATAATTAGAATGTATGATCCTATATAATAAAAGGCTAACATGCTGCCTGGAGGATGTGGCTCAGGAGTGAGCATTGAACCAGGAACAAGAGGTCGCCGGTTCAATTCCCAGTCAGGGCACATGCCCAGATTTCAGGCTTGATCCCCAGTGGGAGCCATGCAGAAGGCAGCCAATTGATGACTTTCTCTTTCATCAATGTTTCTATCTCTATCTCCCTTCCCCTTCTTCTCTCTCTAAAAATCAATAGAAATATATATATTTTTAAAAAGACTAATATGCAATTGTCCCCTTGACCAGGAGTTCAACCTGGAGTTTGACCAGGAGGCAGGCCCAGGAGGTGGGGCCAGCCGGCCAACTGCCCTTGGCCCCTCTCCCAAGCTGGCTCCGCCCCCCGATTGGCCCCCCACCCCAATTGGGGGCGGGGTTGGCTGGCCAACCTCCTGCATCCCTTCCCCCTGGCCTGGAGGGGCAAGGGGGCCCAATCAGCCCAGATTGGGGTGGGCTGGCCAGACCCCACCTGTGAACGAATTGATGCACCGGGCCTCTAGTACCTTCATAAAATGAAATTTATTAATCCATTAAAAGATGCACCGAAACTGGTTTGGCTCAATGGATAGAGAGTCGGCTTGGGACTGAAGGGACCCGGGTTCGATTCCGGTCAAGGGCATGTACCTTGGTTGCGGGCATATCCCCAGTAGGGGGTGTGCAAGAGGCAGCTGGTCGATGACTCTCTCTCATCGATGTTTCTAACTCTCTATCTCTCTCCCTTCCTCTCTGTATAAAATCAATAAAATATATTAAAAAAAAAAAAAAAAGATGCACAGACACACACACATGACACACTGCCTGGGGAAAAAAAAATCTCATTTATAAAATAGTGTGTGAGTGGGGAGAGCAATATATCGATACATAATTCCTGAAAGAATGCAGGATTCTTTATCTTTAGATAATGGGAATCTGGATATTTCTTTACTACTTTTCTCTTTATAATCTTGTAAAATAGGTATGTTTGGTTTTTTTTTTACAATGAATGTTTAGTCATTTAAAAAAAAATTATTTCAGAGTGCAAGAGAGACAGAGAGAAAGAGAGAGGAACATTGACTTATTTATTGTTCCATTCATTGGTTGGTTCTTGTATGTGCCCTGACTGAGCATCGAACCCAAAACCTTGGCGTATTGGGATGACACTCTAACCAACTGCGCTACCCCAGGCAGGGCCATTTTTATAATGAAGAAAAATACCATTTTAATTGTGGGGGAGGAATTCCACCATCTATAACAGTGGTCAGCAAACTGTGGCTTGGGAGTCACATGCGGCTCTTTGGCCCCTTGACTGCTGTTCTTCCACAAAATACCACGGCCTGGGCGTGTCTATTTTGAAGAAGTGGCATTAGAACATGTTTAAGTTTAAAAACATTTGGCTCTCAAAAGAAATTTCAATCGTTGTACTGTTGATATTTGGCTCTGTTAACTAATGAATTTGCCGACCACTGGTCCATAATATTTGGCCAAATGTCCCCCTGGATGAAGCCAGGGCTGCCAGGGAAGCCCAGGTCCGGGATGCCTGCCGATGACCGGAGGGAAGCCTGGGTCCCGGTGCCAGAGGAAGCTGGTGCTGGCAGCGGGGACACACACACACACACACACACACACACACACACACACCTACTCTTGCACGAGTTCCGTGCATTGGGCCTCTCGTCTAAAAATAAAGAAATTACGTGTGAAAAAGATGCCCTGGGTAAATGAGAAAGAAAGCACCCACTTAATTTAAGCACAAACTTTGGGTGCCAGAACTACCCAGAAAGATCATTTTGAGATTTTGAAAATTTAAAAAACTGTTGATATTTCTGTACAAGGTATTAAGTATTTCAGATATCCTAGCACTAAACACCCACCCCACGTAATTCACATCATATACTATGGAAAGTTTTCCTCCCATAGTTCCCCTCTCCAAAGGAAAGAAGCACTATAATTTCATGTGCATGCTTTTATGTTTTAATTTTTTTAAGAATATGTTTTTAGCCCTAACTGGTTTGGCTCAGTGGATTGAGCGTCGGCCTGCAGACTGAAGGGTCCCAGGTTCGATTCCAGTCAAGGGCATGTATGTACCTTGGTTGTGAGCACATCCCCAGTAGGAGGTGTGCAGGAAGCAGCTGATGGATGTTTATCTCTCATCAATGTTTCTAACTCTATCCTTCTCACTTCTATCCTTCTCTCTGTAAAAAAAATCATTTAAAAAATATTTTTTTTAAAAGAATGTTCTTTTTTTAATTTTTTTATTAAATTATTATCTGTGTACATATTTAAAAAGAATGTTCTTATTGATTTTTATAGAGAGTGAATGGAGAGGGAGATAGAAACATCAATGATGAGAGAGAATCAACAAATGGCTAACTCCTGCATGCCCTCTACTGGAATTGAGCCTGCAACATGTCATGTGCCCTGATCAGGAATCGAACCAACAACCTCTTGTTTTCTGGTTCAACACTCAACTGCTGAAACACATCGGCCAGAATCACGTGTATCCTTTTAGAGAGGTTCAATATCATATACACATTTTTTTATTAGACATAAATGAAAGCATATTATTACATTGTACTATATCAGGCTTTTCCTCCTAAAATGCTTTCCACATTAGTATATCGGAGCTGTCACATTCTTTTAATGGCTTTATTGTATGGATGTACCATAATTTATTTAAGCAGTTTTCTATTGATTGATATTTAGACTGATTCCATTATTTTGCCATAAGAAACAATTCTACAATTATTATCTCTATAAATTACTAAGTTCGGTGCATATACACTGAAAATTTTAATGGTTTTGCCAAAATGCTCTTACAAATTATACACCAGCCTGGCTGGTATGCTCAGTGGTTGAGCACTGACACATGAACCATGAAGTCACGGTTCATGGTTTCATTCCCAGTAGGGGGTGTTCAGGAGGCATCACATTGATTCTTATCATTATCTTGCCCTTTCTACCTCTTCTTTCTTCTTTCCGAAATAAATACATATTTTTTTAAAAGTTATACACCAATGTGTGTTTGTTTGCAACTTTAACAGATTAAAATATTTATCCAACAATACTTAGTGATCATAATTGTCTTTTGGTTAGTTCTAAAATGAAGTAAACAATCATTTTATCTCCAAATATTGATAATTTAACCATCTTTTACAAATTCTATAGCTCTTCTTCCTTTTTCCCCCCTCTTATTTAGTTGCGTTAACTATTCCCTGGAAAGCTATGGCAGACAATAGCAGTGAATAGTGATAAAGAAAATCTCCATCTTGTTCCTAACTTACTAGGCATGCCTCTAGCTTCCCTATGAGGTGATAATGACCTTTAGATAAGATCCATACATTTTATTATGTTAAAAAAGTAATCATATATTTGTTTTTAAAAAGAATTTGATCAAGAAGAGGGCCTAAATTTCATCAAATGCCTTTTAGCATGTACAGAGATGATGGCCTAGTAACACAGTGACTTATATTGAAATCCTATCTAATAAAGAGGTAATATGCAAATTAACCATCACTCCAACGCACAAGATGGCCAGCAGGAGAAGGTAGCTGTGGGTGATCAGGCCTGCAGGGGAGGGCAGTTGGGGGCAATTAGGCCTGCATGGGGAGGGCAGTTGGAGGCAATCAGGCCTGAAACGGGAGGGTAGTTAGGGGGGACCAGGTTAGCAGGGGAGGGCAGTTAGGGGCAACCAGGCCATCAGGGGAGGGCAGTTAAGGGCAAACAGGCTGTCAAGGGAGGGCAGTTAGGGGCAACCAGACCTGCAGGGGAGGAGGGGCAATCAGGCCAGTAGAGGAGGGCAGTGAGGGGTGACTGGGCCAGCAGGAGAGGGCAGTTAGGGTCAATCAGGCCATCAGGGAAAGGCAGTTAAGGGCAAACAGCTAGCAAGGGAGGGCAGTTTGGGGTGACCGGGCCAACCAGACCTGCAGGGGAGGACAGTTAGGAGTGACCAAGCCTTCAGGGGAGGGTAGTTAAGGGTGACCAGGCCAGCAGGGGAAGGCAGTTAGGAGCAATCAGGCTAGCAGGGGAGCTGGTAGGTGTTGATCAGACTGGCAGGGGAGTGGTTAGGGGGTGATCAAGCTGGCAGGCAGGCAGGCAGGTGAGCAGTTGGGAGCCAGCAGTCCTAGATTGTGAGAGGGATCCAGATTGGAGAGGGTACAGGCTGGGCTGAGGGACACACACGTGCGCGCGCGCGCGCGCGCACACACACACACACACACACACACACACCTGTGCACAAATTTCATGCACTGGACCTCTAGTTTGCTAATAATGAAACAACCTTCCATTCTGCAAACAAACTCCACTGGGTCATAATATATTTTCCTTCAATGTATTTCTGAATCCTGTTTAATATTGAGTTATTCCTTTTATATCAATAAATAGAATTGGTCTACAGTTTCCTTTTACTTTATAATTTATAGGGGTTTTTTGTATCAATGTTATGTTGGCTTCATAAAGTGATTCTGGAAGCTTTTCTTCTTCTGTATTTTGGAACAGTTAAAATACTATTAGAATTTTCCACTCCTAGAAGGTTTAATATGAACCCATTTGTGCCTGGTATTATTTTAATTGGTAGGTAGGATGGAAATCTTCTCAACAACTTTCTGCTGTTTTTTCTTTACCTCTATTTAGATTTTCTATTGCTTCAGTGGCAGTTATCTTTTTTTCCCTAAAAAACCACCAAGTTCTTATAGATTTTCTCACTTGTTTCTTTTGTCTGTCCTTATTCCCACTGCCTCTATGAAACTCTTCCATTTATGCATTTGTTGTTGTTTTTTTAAATCCTCACTTGAGGATATGCTTATTGATTTCAAAGAGTCAGGAAGAGGGAGGGGGAGGGGAAGAGAAAGAAAGAGAGGGAAGAGAGAAACAGCAATCAGTTGCCTCCCTTACATGCCCCAACCAGGATCAAACCAGCATGTCGTTTTTTAACATTCGTTTAAAATCTTGCTTGGCGTTGACTTGTATTAACATAACCTTCAAACACGTGGTATCTACTGAACGTGTGAAGTGCAATTAACAAGTTTTGCTTGAAAAAGTTTGTGTTTGGTTTGGTTTTTGTTGCAAAACTAGGGCTAAGAAGATGGCGGATGAAGAGCATATTCGGCACTGCATGCTTTACGAGTTCCAATTAGGAAGAAAAGCAAGTGAGGCTGCAAAAAATATCTGTAGTGCTCTTGGTCAAGATGCAGTTAGCGCCAGAAAATGCCAGCGTTGGTTTGAGAAATTTCGCGAGGGAAATTTTTCGTTAGATGACAAGAGTGGTCGAGGCCGTGTGTCCAATTTTGATCAAGAAGCTCTTCAAGCTCTTTTGGTGCAAAATCCTCAAATTACCCAACTAGAGCTTGCGACAACTTTAAATTGTTCACAAAAAACAATTGCCAATCAATTGCGTGCACTTGGCAAAGTCCAAAAGTTTGGAAAATGGGTTCCTCATGAGTTGACCCACAACAACCGTAATCAAAGAGTCACAATTTGCAGTTCGCTCCTCTCTCATCAAAACCGTTTGCCGTTTTTAGAGCAAATTGTTACCGGAGAAGAAAAATGGGTGCTGTATGTTAATTTGAAAAGGCAGCTTCAATGGTTGGACAAAAATGAGGCTCCGCAGCCCACGCCAAAACCTGACTTGCATGCGAAAAAAGTGATGTTGTGTGTTTGGTGGAATTTTAAAGGAATTCTTCATTATGAACTTTTACCATCTAACCAAACCATTACAAGTGCAGTGTATAGTGCCCAATTGGAAAGGTTAGCCCAAGCTTTAAGAGAAAAAGAACCCGCGCTGATTAATCGGAAGGGCGTAATTCTTCACCACGATAACGCACGACCGCATACTGCAAGAATCACTGCTGAAAAACTGCGCCAGTTGGAATGGGAAGTTCTCCCTCAACCTGCATATTCTCCTGATATTGCCCCTTCCGATTACCATTTGTTTCGTTCTTTGCAAAACTTTCTTCTTGGAAAAAAATTTAATAATGAAGAATGCCTCAAAAATGCATTGACCGAATTTTTTGCATCAAAATCACAAGAATTTTACACAGAGGGATTAAAATGCTTCCTGAGCGTTGGGCACAAGTAGTAGAAAACAACGGCAACTATATTGTTGATTAAATTTTGTTGTATTATTTAAATAAATTCGATTTAAAAAAAGTATTAGAAAACGACATTAATTATTACTAGACCTAATAGATATGTACCCTGACCTGGAATCAAACCTGCAACTTTTTTTTTGGTTTAAAAGACAATGCTCCAACCAAGTGAACCACCAGACTGGGGCAATTTATGTATTAGCTTTATTGCTTCTGTTCCTAATATAGATCTATCCCAATGATTTACAAATTTGGGGGTTGAGAAATGGGGTTGAGAAATCTCTGAACCTCTCTACTCTTTTCAACAGATAGCTCTACTTTTTTCTATTTTATATGTGAAATTTTCAAATAAGATTTAATTTGAGAGAGAAAACTTATAAAACAATATAAAAAACTGAAAAGCAATTAAATCATGCATACACTTTCTTGAAATCCTGTTAACAATCTAATTTATAGACTTTTAAAAATTTTTTATTTAAGTAATAAGTTCTTCACTAAAAGGACTTAGAACTGAATACAGTCATGAGTTCTTTCAGTTCTACTTATAAGCAAGGATCAATAAAATAATGTCCCTATTTATATTAACTTGTCTTATATATACCAACTATGACTAACATCTGGAAACAATTATAATTTTAAGGGTTATTCATCAATAAGGGACATGGCTTTAAAATAGACTCCTAACAGAATTAATTTCTGAAAAATAGACCAAATATTTCACCACTTACCCCAAATAAATGAATGAGAAAAAGAACAGCAACAATAGAGATGAAATAATAAGCCAGGCATGGATGACCTAGAAAAAAATTTCAATATAAATAAGAGAGCCCATGATCCAAATAATTTGCAAATTACTTTCTTCAAAAATAGTATATTATTTCTGTATATGTTATTCTTTTCAAATGGCTGAGCACATATGGCTTTGGTTTCAGTGCATTCTTTTTCTTTAATAATATGTATTTTTTCATTGATTTCAGATGGAAAGGAGAGGGAGAGATAGATAGAAACATCAATGATGAGAGAGAATCATTGGTTGGCTGCCTCCTGCACGGCCCCTAGTGGGGAATAATCCCACAACCCAGGCATGTGCCCTTGACTGGAATCGAACCCAGGACCCTTCAGTCCCCAGGCTAGTGAGCTATTAACTGAGCCAGATTGCTAGGGCTCTTTATCCATGTATTCAAGGACATTCGAGTTGCTTCCATCTCTTAACTCTTATGAATAATGTTGCAGTGATCACAGGTATGCAGATACCTTTTTGGGATACTGACAGTTCTTCTGGATATATACCCAGACATATTGATTGCCTCCCACACATGCTCCTGACCGAGGCTGAAATGAACCTGCAACCATGTTTATGTCCATGACCAGGAATCGAACCTCCGACCCTTGGCAGGCTGTAGTTCCAACCACTAAGCCATAACAGCCAGGGCTCAGACCTTTTTCTTTACTAGACCAAGTAAAGCATAGATAGAAAACCCAATCATAAAAAGAATATGATGGAAAGCAAAGCTCTGTCTCTCATGCTCACCTTATAGCACCTGTATTTATATAGAGCCACCAGGAGAATAGTCATGACAACAATGACGCTGATCATGATAGCAGCATTCAGAATTGAGTGCAGGGCTCTCTGGCCCACAGTCTCGGTATCCTCTGTGAATGGAGTATAGATTCTATAACAAAACAAAACACAAAGCCTCAGATAAGTGTTAAAGGATAGATATACCAAGCCATATACTCTCTCCAACATGAGTTTTGTTTCCCTGATTCAAATGATATATCACTTTTGCCCATCTCATCAACCTAGCCAAGTTGTTAAGTTTTAACTTAACAAAAATAGCTACTGTCAAAAAGTGCTTCAAAAATAAAAAAGATATCTAAGATATAGGAGTTGTGAACCAGACCCTGACTCCATCTAGTGGATGCTATATCCTAAAATAATTACCTCAGCAAATATTCCTTCTCCACTGCTTCTTAGGATTTGCTAAAGAACCAGATTTTGCCACATAAACTACTGAGGACACAAGGGATAGTCAGCGGAAGTAATATGGCTTATAATTATTATCCTTCATCTTTAGGGAGATTGCAACTGGGGTTGTCTTAATATAATGTCACATATCCATTTCCCCCTTGTTTCTCATTCACACAAAAACATTTTTATTCTAGGGCCAATGTTCCCAGCTAAAAGATTTTAGTTCTGATTCCCTTATAGTCAGGTGTGGCATGAGATTAAGTAATAGCTAATAAGTCATAAGCAGATACTATATTGTGTGGAACTTCTAAGAAAGGAGTTAATTCTGCTGAGATGTTTTATGTCCTTTTTTCCCCTACTCCTTCCTGCTTCCTGCTGTTTGAATGAAGGCTAGGGCTCCAGCATCCTAATAACCTAGAGCAGTGATCGGCAAACTCATTAGTCAACAGAGCCAAATACCAACAGTACAACGATTAAAATTTCTTTAGAGAGCCAATTTTTTTAAACTTAAACTTCTTCTAAAGCCACTTCTTCAAAATAGACTTGCCCAGGCCGTGGTGTTTTGTGGAAGAGCTGCATGTGGCTCACAAGCCACAGTTTTTCGACCACAGACCAAGAGCATAGATCCTGAAATAACCTAGAGTAAAATAAAGAAGGAGTCTGAATCCTTGATAAATGTGAAGCCACTATTCCAAACTGATTGACCACCTCTGCACTACTCCATGAGAAATAAAACATGTACGTTATTTAAAGCAGCTGTTTTGATTTTTTATAATCGGATTTTTCTATAATCGGAATTATTTTCTATAATAGGATCAGCAAACTTTCTGCAAAGGACTAGAGAGTATGTATTTTAAGTTTTGTGGGTGATGTGGCCTCTGCTGCAACCATATAAAAGTGTGTGTGTGTGTGTGTGTGTGTGTATATGCATGTGTATATATAGACATATCTTATAAATATTTTATAAGATATATATGTGTGTGTGTATATATATATATCTTATAAAAGCAGGCAGAGACAATATATAAAAGAATGAGCATGGTTGTATCCCAACAAAACTTTATTTACAAAAATAGGTGACAAGCAGAGCTGCTCTGTGGACTATGACTTGCTAATCCCTGTTCTATAATATGTAGCCAAGCTAACTCTAATTAATACAGAGAATATTACTTAATCTCTTTTAGCTATTATCTCCATTATCTGCTGATACTCAATGTCAGTCTTTCTTTCAAAAATTAATAGCTTGGGCTCTCTCGGGTCCTCATTTCCAAGATGACCAAGAAAAGAAGGAATAATGGCTGTGCCAAAAAACGCCGAGGCCATGTGCAGTCTATTCGTTGCACCAACTGCGCCCAGTGTGTGCCCAAGGACAAGGCCATTAAGAAGTTTGTCCTTCAAAACATAGGGAAGGCCGTGGCCGTCAGGGACATCTCCGAAGCCAGTGTCTTGGACGCCTATGTGCTTCCCAAGCTATATGTGAAGCTGCATCACTGTGTGAGCTGTGCCATTCACAGCAAGGGAGTCAGGAATCGATCTCGTGAAGCCCTGAAGGTCCGAATATCCCCACCCCGGTTTAGGCCTGCGGGTGCTAACCCACGACCTCCACCAAAGCCCATATAAGGAGCTAAGTCTTTAAAGAGTGAAGAAAAGTTCTCTGGGGGAAAATAAATGGAAGTTGTATTTAAAAAAAAAAAAAATTTATATATATATATATATATATATATATATATATATATATATATATATATATATATATAAAAATAAATAAATAGCTTGGCCCTAGTTGGTTTGGCTCAGTGGACAGAGCGTCGGCCTGCGAAGTGAAAAGTCCGAGGTTTGGCCGAAACCGATTTGGCTCAGTGGTAGAGCGTCGCTCTGCGGACTGAAAGGTCCCAGGTTCGATTCCGGTCAAGGGCATGTACCTTGGTTGTGGGCACATCCCCGGTAGGGGGTGTGCAAGAGGCAGCTGGTCAATGTTTCTCTCTCATCAACGTTTCTAGCTCTCTCTCCCTCTCCTCCTCCTCTCCGTAAAAAATCATATTTTTAAAATATATTTTAAAAAAAAGAAAAGTCCGAGCTTCGATTCCGGCCAAGAGCACAGGCCCAGGTTGTGGGCTCCATTCCCAGTGGGGGACTTGCAGGAGGCAACCGATCCATGATTCTGTCTCATCATGGATGCTTCTCTCTCTCCCTCTTCCTTTCTCTCTGAAATCAATAAAAAATATATTAAAAAAATAAATTTAAAAAATAGCTTGCCTTTCAGAACACTATAAATTTTTTAAGATACTTGCCACTTTCAAATTCTAAAATACACTAAAAATTTGTTTGAGCCCACTAGGGTCCTAGAGACAGAACTAGGTGACATAAGAATCAAGGGCTGATACCAACAGCACCAGAGAACCTACACAATAGTTCCCCAAGAGTAGAGTGCCAGCTTGCAGTAATTCTTCATCCTTTCATTTAACAACTTTTATTACACACTTCATCCTGGAAACAAAGTGCTCTGAAAAGACTTACAGTACAGAAGGAAACCAGGTGTTGAATAAATCATGTAAATAAATTTATATTTGCATATCTTTACAAGTGAAAAAGAACAGGTTTCTATAAGAAACTATAAGATCCTACTAGTTTTATTAGTAGGATCAGAGCCATTATATTTGGATTTAACATTTAAGCCAAGATCAGAAGGATGAGAGGACTTAATCCACCTAATTAGAAAAAGAACATTCCAGGCAAAGAAAAATGGGCTCAATGGCCCTGAGATGGGAAAGATTACTGTTTAATGCTTTACTGGCTCATTACAAATAAATTCAGCCCTGTCTTAGTGACAGCATACAGGAAATATAATTCTGTAGCTTTCATTTTCTCTACTTAAAGTATCAAATAATAAATAACTCCTCACTCTCAACTGCTTCTGCCTGAAAGAACTCTCTGGCCTTCATACTTCTTCAGAGGCCTTCAAGATAATGATGGCATGCAATGAAGAAAAGCTATGCTGACCTTGAGAATAATAAAAGAAAACATTCATACATACAACTGCCCATCCTTCCGGGTATAAAAGCTGACTGATTTGATGGTAGCCACCACCACCACCATACAGAGAGTCACGGGGACAAAGAGCATGATCACATGCTTGGCGCCATATTTCAGTGTCAGCTCCTCATCTTCTTCTTCCTCTTGTTCCACCACCTGCAGTGTGTTACCCTGGGGTCCTCCATTAGACAATGGCTCAGGGTTGCCCCGCCTCCGCCTTTCATTGCTGTACTCATGCCGTTCTCTACTGTCATTCTAAAAGCAAAAGAAACACTTTTTCAATATGTCAGACTCCCAGCAGAAACAAGTTATTCTATATCAAAAATAGGAAATGTAACAGTCAGACCTGAGATTAACAACAGGTTCACGATTACTTGAGTTCTAAAAACCTGAGGTAAGAAAACCAATTTAAAAGAAGTGTGTAGTTAAGAAATCTAGATTATTTACCAAATTCCCTCAAGGAATCCAGGTCCTCCCTTTCACCTGGGTCTTGGCTTTCCTCACCCTCTCGCTCCATTCCTAACCTAATACAATTACACTGGCCCTTTGAGGTGTGGCTTAAAACTGACACCTATATGCCGAGACCGGTTTGGCTCAATGGATAGAGCGTCGGCTTGGGGACTGAAGGATCCCGGGTTCGATTCCGGTCAAAGGCATGTACCTTGGTTGCGGGCATATCCCCAGTAGGGGTGTGCAAGAGGCAGCTGATCGTTGACTCTCTCTCATCGATGTTTCTATCTCTCTATCTCTCTCCCTTCCTCTCTGTACAAAATCAATAAAATAAAATAAAAAAAATAAAATAAAACTGACACCTATATGAATACTTTATTTGCTGCAGCTTCAAGCAGAGAAATCCCAGCTTTTCCAATTCATGAAGTGCTTTCTACCTGTGGTTTTATACCAGTTATACAAAGAACTATCTCACCTCATTACCAATAAGACTTAAAATCCTGTATTGATGTATATGGGATCTCTGTAATTATTTCTTACAATTGCATGTAAATCTATAGTTATCTCAAGTATGCAATTTAAAAAAAATCTTTACAGTGAGAAACTAGGCCTTCAGCAATGATAATATTCTTGCCCTGTTCCCACTGTGCCCTGAATAGAATAGGGGACAATAATATTTGTTGAATTATGGAATGAAAGGAGAACCTTTCTTAGATTCTATTTTCCTTGGGCTCTTAATACCAAATACTTTTATCATTATCCTGGGTTTCTACTTTCTTATTCTTCAAGTTTGATTTCCTTTTTGGTATCCCTGTTCACGTCTAAACTCAGTTTTTATAAAAGGTAGAATGAATCTCAAGGGCACTAACAATAACAATAAAGATCACTCTATATAAAACCCAGCAACTGGAACGGCGGAATGACCCGAAAGACCCTTGGCTATGACGCACACCATGGCAGCCAACCAACCTGATCTGGGCCGTGATTGGCACTCAGCCCCTGATCAGCCCGTAATACCCCAATTGGGGACGGAGCCAACCAGCCAACCTCCCTCAGTCCCTCCCCTGGGCGGCCCCATTGCGGCAGGCCGCTGGACCCCACCTGTGCATGAATTCATGTACCAGGCCTCTAGTGATAGATAACAGGAAAGATAACAGATTTTCTTCTCCCTTCTCAATGATAAAAGATAGTCACTGTTGCTGGGATAATGTCAGCTTGGTTGAAAAAGGGTTTTCTTAGGAAAACATACTATTCTTGTACCTCACTTCTGACTACAGATATACCTAATAGAGTATTACCATTATTCATTAAAAATACATTACATACTTAATAATAGCTTAAAACTACAATGTAGCCAAGACCGGTTTGGCTCAGTGGATAGAGCATTGGCCTGTGGACTGAAAGGTCCCAAGTTCGATTCCGGTCAAGGGCATGTACCTTGATTGCGGGTACATCCCAAGTAGGGGGTGTGCAAGAGGCAGCTGATTGATGTTTCTAGCTCTCTCTATCTCTCTCTCTTCCTCTCTGTAAAAAATCAATAAAATATATTTAAAAAAAACAAAACAAAAAAAAACTTCAGGCTCACAAAATTAAAAAACAAAACAAAACAAAACTACAATGTACCAAGGATTGATATGTACTTTACATTTAATTCTCATAGATACTCCATCATCGCCACTTTATAGGTAAGGAAACAGCTACAAGCCAGAGTTATAGAGTGGGTTTGAACCCAGATATGCTTGTCTTCAGAAATAAAGTTCTTTTTCTTTTCTTTTCTTTTTTTAAAATATATTTTATTGATTTTTTACAGAGAGGAAGGGAGAGAGTCAGAAACATCGATGAGAGAGAAACATCGATCAGCTGCCTCCTGCACACCCCCTACTAGGGATGTGCCCGCAGCCAATCGAACCCGGGACCTTTCAGTCTGAAGGCTGATGCTCCATCCACTGAGCCAAACTGGTTTCGGCCAGAAATCAAGTTCTTACCCACCTCAATTTGCTGTTCACAAGACAACACGAGAGCTCTGCAGACTGTGAGCCTAGTTCTCTTTTACATTACTTTCAATACTATTTATTTCATAGGTAACTATGAAAATTCTATATTTCAGGTACTCTACTGTGGCAATACAGAAGTTAATTAGATGCTTGCTATCCTTAAGAAGTCCCTAAGTTAGCTTTAATATAGAATAAACATTATATTAGAGATAAAAATAAAGTGCTAAAGGACTATAATTCTGTGTGGTCAAAAAAGACAAAATAAAAGATACAATTTTTGAACAGAAACTTCAAGAGTGACTGTAAGGTAAGTGGGCTCCAGGCAGAGACCACATGAACTGTGGCGCAGACATGTGACAGTGCCATACAACCAGTGAGTATTCCAGAGGTGACTAGAGAGCAGTCTGTTAGGGGTGGTGGGAGAAAAGGTAGGGAAAGGTTGTAAAGGACCTTGTTTGCCTGCCAACGACTTTAGACTTTGTCCTGTAGGCAACAGAAAGTCATAAAAATTGTCAAGGTTGAGGAAGTGACATATCAGATTATGATTTATTTGTAAGAAACTGACTGAGTGGCGATGGAAAACAGGGATGTGTAAGGCACATTTCAGAAGTAGAATTGAAGGGCTTTGTGAATGGTCAGGAAGGAGTCAGGATGACCCTGGAGGTTTCTAGCATAAGAAACTAGGAAGGTGATTATGACACTGAGAATGGGAACAAAAGATGAGCAGAGTGGAGGAGGGAGATAGGTAAATGTAAAGTATTCACCCCAGGCAGGAAAGTCCAAAGGCAGTTAATAAGAATTTTAAGCTCAGAAGAGAGTTGGGAGAGGTCATTAGTTTCTAGTTATGGAAATGAATGAACTCTCAGGGAGAGAGTATAGATGGAAAGTAGGAACAGTAGGAACTTATTGGTCATTAATATAATATAGCAGCTGTGGAAAGAAAAATATGCTAAGGACGTTATGTTTGTGACTAATGTTTAGCAACACAATTATGACCAATTTGACAGATCAATTATGCACAAAATAAACTAAATGCAATTAATAATAACTATATGAGTATTTGATAATGTACAAAGCACTCATATATCTCAATTATTCTTTTTATATGTTGAGAAGTGTTAGTAGGTGAACTCTAAAGCAACTTGTCCAAAAAAATCTCACAGCCAGAAATCAACAGAGATAGGAATCAAATTCAAGTTTCTTGTTTCAAAATTTGTGTTCTTCCTATGGCACTACAGCTGTCCCATTAGGCTATGTGAACAGTTTAACTGAGTAAGTCTAGCATGAAAGAGGCAATCATAACATGCTCATTCACATTACTCAACTGGATGTTCTGGTTTGTAAAGAACATTAGCCAACCCCACCCTGCCCCACTCCCAGAAGCTGATACGGGAAACTAGAACAGTTTAAGACACACACACACACACACACACACACACTTCCTCTTCACAGTACTTTGGATACTATTTTTAAAAATTGACTATATGTTTTAATTTCATTTTTTAAAGTACAATTTATTTATTTAAACAGGTAAAACATTCACGTGGCCCTGAAATCTGAGTATGAAAAGGTGTACAATAAAAAGTCTCCCACTTAACTATCTACTTAGTTTCCCAATCTCCCAGGTTACCACTGTCATTGTTCTCTGCAAATTCTATCAAAGTTTCTTCATGTAAATACAAGCAAATATAATACATAGCTTCATTATCCCTTTTCACAAATGGTAGTAGCTGAATAAATGTACTGCCCTGCACTTTGCTTAACTATGTATCCTAGAGATTTTTTTACATCATTACACAAAGAACATCCTTATTCTTTTTATTTTCTTTTTTTTAGGTTAGATGCAAATACACCATTTCTTCTTTTTTAAATGCTTTTATTGATTTTAGAGAGAAAAGGAGAGGGAGATAGAGAAAAACATCCGCAAGAGAGAAACATCAAACAGTGGTCTCCTGCAGCCCCCTCCCCGCCGTGTGCCCCCGCCACTGGGAATTGAACTTGCAACCCAGGCATGTGCCTTTGACCAGAATGAAACCTGGGACCTTTCAGTCTGCAGACCAATGCTCTATCCACTGAGCCAAACTGGCTAGGGCAGAACATCCTTATTCTTAAAAACAATTTTTAATCATCTATATAGCCAGTATATAAAATGTCATTAATTTATTAGGCCAATCCCCTAAAGACTGACATTTAACCTGCTTTGAACTTTTTGCCATTACAAACACTGCTGCAATCAGAATGCCCCCTATTAACGTATTTCACACGTGGGGGCGTATTTGCAGGATAAATTCCCTTAAGTAAAATTGCTGGGTCAAAGTACTCATCAGTAGAGATACTAATTACCCTCCCTATGAGTTGTATCAGTTTAAATAGGAAGAGTGCCTATTTCAACAAGTCCTTAATTAACAATCAGTGAATGCCAGGCACTCGGTGCCAAGAATATAGCATTCCAACAAGACAGAAAAGGTTTCTGCTCTCATGAACTGATTTCAAGAGAGAGAGATAATAAACAAGATAATTACACAGTGGGATGGTACTATACCAGGGTGATATGAGAAAAAATACTTGGGGCCTGGCTGGGTGGCTCAGTTGGTTGGAGCATTGTCCCAAGCACCAAAAGGTTGCTGGTCTGATTCCCAATCAGGGCACATAACTATTTTTAAAAATTGACTATATGTTTTAATTTCATTTTTAAAGTACAATTTATTTATTTAAACAGGTAAAACATTCACATGGTTCTGAAATCTGAGTATAAAAAGGTGTACCTTGGTTGCGGGCATATCCCTAGTGGGGGGGGGGTGCAAGAGGCAG